CTTATTTACACTTTTAGTTTATCACCAGAGAAACTATTCAGTATTTACATGTGTGTCCTATTATTTCACTTTAGAATATGTCCTCAATGTGCATCCACTTAGCTATAAATGTCTCTAGTTTCTCATTCTTTATAGCTGAATAGTACTACATTTTATAAAAGTACCATATCTTCTTTATCGAGTCTCCAGTTGATGGGCATTTGGATTGTTTCCAAGTTTTAGCTGTTACAAACTGTGCCGCTATACACATAGTGGCACATGGGTGAGTGATCATATATCGCTGTGGTATGATTCTTTTAATTCTTTTGGGAAGATACCCAGTAGGGGAATAGCTAGGTCAAATGGGACTTCCAATCCATTGGCTATTGTTACGCTTAATAATAGAGGGAGTGGCTGTAAAAAGATAATTTGAATTATATAAAGCCAGTATGTGAAATTAAGCTTCCCTTTTAAGAGAAGAATGATCATCATTTTGAAAAAGAGTAATACATGTTTATAAAAAAGAAGCATTTCTAGTGAAATGCTCCCTTATTTTGACATTTCTAGAATTTTTGAGGCTTACACATAATAATCTCATGTTATCTTTACCTAATACAAATACTTACATACAGTTATTTCAACCTGAGATATTATGGGTCCTACTGTATTTAAACATTTTCAAGATCGTATATGTGGCAAAATACAGTTGACCCTTGACTTATCAACTCAGTCAGTTCCCAAGGGCTGGTTGTAACTCAAGTTGGTTGTGAGTCAGTACGGCTGAGATCTGGATGTTGACCTGGGTGCACACTGTAGGTAACAAGGGGCAGGTGGATCTTCGGTGACCCAGTTACCCACGTTCTTTTCTCAGGTTGGTTGTAACTTACGGGTGCCCTGTGCACAGGTGATGTAATATTGGAGAAATTGCTGAAACCCTGTGCAGCTTGTGTTTCTTATTTATAAAAGAAGTTAGGGTACCTAGGGTTAGATAAAATGATTTTATATAAAGTATTTAGAGCAGTGCTTCATATTTTAGTAAACACGCAATAAATGGTATTTTTTAATCATGCTGTTCTTTACTTTTCACCCCCAAAAGTCATAGTTTCTAAAATATGCCCCAAAGTGAAATAATTCACTTTAAAAAAGGAAATAAGTAAGTAGAACTTCCTGTTAGTCAAGGCTGTGCCCATGAAGTGTGGTCCTGGAGACAGTAGCAGCATCGGTTCCTGAGCAAGGACAGACTCACTCCACCAGATCGCTGAGTCGGTGGGCCTCTCTGTGGTGTGCTGTGAAAGTAGGAGTGCACAGGTGAAAGGATGACTCTAATTTTCGTATTTTTTTCTTTCTGACCCTATCTTCTCATGCACCACATTCCTGCTGTACCATGTTTCTTCATACCTTACCCTCTATTGATTGGTATTTTCTTGTATTTATATTTGGGGGACATACCTGACAATAACTTATTTCTGCATGAATGTGTGCTTACATCACTTTGTCTTTGACAGTATGCTGAATGCTTTCCATGTGTCATTTCATTTAGTAAGTTTATAAGAACTTTTGAGAGATAAGATTCGTCCCATGTTATGTGATGTACTGTACTTACTCTTTTATTGCTAAACAATATTCCATTATATAAATGTATTACATTTTGTCTTTTCATTTATAAGTTGATAGCCATTGGACTTGCTTCCACTCATTCACTGTTGTGAACAATGCTGGTGTTGAGCCGGGGATTTAGCTCAGTGGCGCCATGCCTGCTTCACAAGCAAGCACAAGGTTCCAAGTTCAATCCCCATTACCAAAAAACAAAAAAGGCCAGGAAAGCAAAACCCATGTGCTGTCAGTGTAAGTAATGCAGGTAAATGGAATGTGTTACTGTCATATGTGAAGACTGGCTTAGGAGTGATAATTGAAGTAAAGCTTTTTTTTGTAGAGTGTTATTGGTATTTTCATTGTAGTTCATATAGAAATTTATTCCTATAGTTCTTTTCTAGACTTTGAACATCAAGAAACGGTGAATGTTGAAAAATTTGATTTATTTTAATAAACATTAAATAAGCTTTAAAAATTCAATGCTTTCTTTTTCTGATATTTTTTCCTGTTAAGTACTCATTGTTTACTATAATAAAACTCATAAAATTAAAGTTGATAATTCATCAATAGAAATATCCTAACGCATAAATGTGGTAGTGACACACCTATGTTTATAAGCCTTTACAATAAAATTAATGTTATCCTTTGTGGGTTTTAACTTGGGTCTTGGGTATTTTGTCTCAGCAACAAGAGAAAATGAAGATACCAAATCCCCAGCCCTTCCTTGGCCTTTTTGTAGGACATCTCACTGATCTTGCTGTTTTGTCAGGAGGTTCTTATTACACAGTGTGTACTTAACAGGGACATAAATTATCAAAGTATTAAATTATTAATATGTATTGCACATTTAGAATAAACATCACCATTTTCATATCTGCTATGTACTTGCTACAAAACCTAAATGATAACATCAGAAATAAAAACCTATGTGAACTACAACAAAAATATTAATAGAATCTACAAAGAACAATCTTTGCTTCAGTTGTCATACCCAGGCAGTCTTCACACATGAAAACTGTGTGTTCCATACACAAGTGTTGCTTACACTGATGGCACATAAGTTCTGATTCCCTGTCCTTTTTTGTAGGGCACAGTTGACATTTTTTGGTTTTACTGTGTCGTAGTAAGTCTTTGTGATGCTGCCCCTGCCTGTCCACCTGTCAGCTCACCAGTGTGCTTCACTTTTTTTGTGTAGTTCCCTGTGCAGAAACATTTTGTTTTTCCTCTGCTGTAAATGATCTGTTATGAGTTTCAGTCCCAGTCCTCTAAGAAAATTTCTCTGTGGTATTCTTGTCAACTATCACACTATTGGTGCTGCACATGTTTAGGATCAAGTAAAATACAATCATTGGCCAACAGTCTGTGTTTCAAGTGACATCATAGTCACTGCATAACTCAACAAGATTCACTCCACCTTTGGTTTTGGTGTAGAAAGTTTCCATGTCAGGCGTCCATTTTGTAGAGGTTTCTTTATCAATATTTTTGTCTTGCTGCAGAATGTAGTCAGCAGTACCAGTTTGTTATTGCTATATATGAGGCCAGTGTAAATCTTTCTGAAATCTAAAGATTGTTCTATACAATTCTCTGTTTTGAAATTGCAACATTTCATTGGGAATTTTTGCTTTGTTCCTACATACAGTTCCTACACTGGTCAGCTTCTGCTTTGTTAGCAAATGTAACATCGGTTGGAAACTGGTAAACCAGTTGTTGAATGTCACATTCTGATTAGTTTGGGAGTTGGGAGCAACAAGTCTGCTCACAGCATCGTTCAGTTTATTACTGTACAAATAAGGACCTGGTGGCTGAGTTCCAGGATAAATTTCTAAATTGAAGGAATAATCTTTGTGTCTATGGGGGGCATAATTTTTTTTTTTCAGTACTGGGGATCAAACTCAGGACCTTGCACTTGCAAGGCAAGTGTGGTACCACTGAGCCAAATCCCTGGCCCATACAAGGGCATACATTTTTATGCCATATTTTGACTCATTGCTTTTCCCTAAGTCTCACATCTCTGTGATTACTATGAGAAATACTTGCTAAGTACAGCAAACCTATGAACAGTTTCATTTCAGATAGTCAGGTGTCACTAATACATTTCTGAATATGGCTATTGGTGCACACAGAACTTTTTACTTGTATTTCAGCTTTTGTGTTTCACAACATCCAGCAGTTCCAACACAGAATGATAGCGCTGGCATTCTGTCCAGCAGGTTTCGCCCCTGCCAGGATCCTTGCTATATCTTTGGACCTAGTTCTAACATTGGATCATACCATTTGGTTGCCTGACCATTTTGTGACATTTCAGCTAGTCAGATGTACACTCACATTGCTGTTTTCTTCATCATCTGAATTTAGGTTGTCTGCACTCCCTGTGTCTGTCTGTATCAGTTGATTCTTGTTCCGTTTCGCTGTCTCACTTGGCCCACATCGAGGTCGACATTGTGGCGGCATCGTTGTCATTGTGGTTGTCCTCTTCCTCCCCCTTCCACCTCTCCTCTTCCTCTTTCTCATCATCACCCACCCACCCACTTTTCTGTTATGAAAACATGTATTTTACCGTAATGCATCATCTTCATCATCCATGCACAAGTAAACTGATGATTCAATTTTGACCTCCTTTAGAACTTGTAAGTCTGGTTTTTCATATGCCATTGTACTGAAATGGGCTACTTTTACCAGGAAAACAAAAACAAAAAAACCCTAGAGTGGTGTGGGTATATTATACCTTCTGTGATGCTTAGGTAAACATATGTAAAACTTGTTAGATGGAGCATAATGTGGGTAAAATTTCTGGTTTTACACGTTTGCACATGTGCACACACCTTGCACTTTGTGATACACACACAAAGATTGCTT